GCATAGTCTTCCCAAGCAGCATGACTGGCTCGAAGCCGACGGTCAGGTCAACCGCTTCAGATCTGAAGAAGAGAGGGCTGCCGAGGTTGAAGCCAGAAAAAGGAAATATCCTGAAACCTCTGATGTTGCTCCCTCCAAGAAGAAGCGCAAAACCAAGAAGAATCGGGCTGCTCCCACAGAGCCCTTAGTTGTTGAACCTATCTCAATGGTTCACCCTGCATCTGAACACCAAGAACGACGGATGATAGTTCATGAGCCTGCTTCCACAGAGGCTCCTGAAGCTGAAGACATTCCAGCAGTTGATCACACCGCTGCTGAAGACATTGGTCACAATGACAATGTTGAAGATGATGAAGTTCTTCCTCAGATCGAACACAACTTGGTATCATCGCCTGTTCTCACGAACAACGAACTCATCAGCATTGGTCGTCCTCTGACACCAATTGCTCAGGATGCATCATGGGCTGATCACCCACAACAACAAGACTCCTCGAGTACTCCCCAACAACAACAACAACAAGTCACACCACCTGTGCAAGAAGAAGAAGATGACTTTGAGGCCCAGCCAACTCCATCTCCAAAGGCGTCGCCAGCATTACGTAGGCTTCGCAAAGGACAAAGGGCTCAAGTCCCTCTTTCGAGCGTTCCAGAAGGAGAAGTGCACCACCAACCTATTGCACGTTAAGTGTTTCCAGAAGCCACTCCGACTGTGAATGTCTTCGTGTCTGAAGCCAAAGCTGCTGAAGACAATCCGGCTGCATCAGCCGATGACAACCAAGAAGAAGAACGTGTCCCTACTCCCCCATTACTGAAGAAGCTGTTCCTGAAGTGAACGTGCCAGTGCCCGACCCTCCAGCTCATCAAGTGGAGGTTGAAAATCTTGAGGCTGCCACCACCAACGCAAAATGAAGCCAATGATGTAGTCATGGCTAAAGCACATGTGGAGCCTGCACCAACCAATGTGCCAGAAGTCAATGATGCAACTGATCCTGAAGCATCTGTTGTGCAGCCCGACGCCTCTGTTGTTGCCACCGCTCCAGTTCCGCCACCAAGGCCCCATACAATTGAGAAAGCATACAACTATGGTCAGCTAATGACTGTCAAATGGCCTGTTCTAGTCCCTCCGCCCAATGCTTCTGGTCCTTAGTTTGATTATCATGTTGAGCATAGGCCTCAGGTCCAGAAACCAAAGCCAAGACTGCCAAGGTTCCCAGGTCCTGCCACCTCTACAGGGTCCTTCAATGCAAATGGCTTCAAAGCCTACAACACCTTCTTTGACACAGCAAAGAACCCCTACTCAAGGCCAAGAATATCATCTGATCGTTTCTGGAGCTATCAGCAGCGAAGCTATTACCCTTGCGTTCTGTATGATCAAGGGCGCATTTTCCCTCATATGCGCCTCGACACTGAAGCCATTACTGGACTGCCATGCTTAGAAGAAGCACTTGACTGCTTTCGTGATGCAGGTCTGCTCAGCTTTGTGACAGACAAAGAACATTGGAATGAGGAACTTTTGCTTCAATTCTATGCTACCCTCCACATTCGCGGCTACTACAAAGATACAAAGACATGGGTTCTCGAGTGGATGACAGGAAATGTTCATCATGAAGCCAAAGCTCTTGATGTCATTGAGCTTACAGGCCTACCCACTCCCGGAGAGCTGTTCGAACCTGATTGTCAACTCCACCGCAATGCACTAGAGAGCATCTTCCATAAGCCAGAGCCCAACATGACCCAGATGTTGAGCATGATGAAGCCTCTGCCACCTGACGCTGAATACCCAAAGGAGTTCTTTGTTGATGACCTTGAGTATCTACCTCGCACAATATATCACATCATCAGGCAAACTCTATGGCCTATCAAAGGGCATTCATCAGCTGCAAAACTTGAAGGAGCCATGAAGACATTGGTCTTTTACATCCTCAATGGCATCAGCTTCAATACACAAGAATTCTTCATCCGGCAACTGGCTGCATCTAGATCTGACCTTTTTGGCCTGAAATTCTATGCTCCATGGGTCATGCGCCTCATCAAGCTACACTCTGCTATCAACTATCAACCCTCTGCTCGCAATCATCTGGTCTTTCTACCGGAGGTTGATATGTCAGTTGAAGCCATATACCCTGAGCCTGCCAAGAAGCCTCTTTGTCTTCAAAATGCTGATCACCAAAGCTTCACTCAACCCATGGAAGGAGTCCAAGCAGTAACTCGTGTCTATCCAATGGCTGGGAACACTCATCTGCCTCACCGTGCGCAAACTGAAGCTACTGAGAGCACAATTGCCCAAAGGCCTAAGAAGCGCTCTCGCGTCCTAAATGACCGAGAACTTCTTGTGGCACTGCATCAGAAACAAGATAAGCATCACTTTTGGCTCAAGCGACAGATGCAAAGCCTCTTGGTGGACGTCAATCACATTCGAAATCTTGCCACCAAGAATGCTTTTGTCACTCACGAGACCTGTCGGCGATCATGGAAGAGTTTGACACTGCTCAGTGCTGAAGTAGATCTTCAAGACGATGGCTTCACTGAAAGATTCAAGTTTGACTCCACTCCTCCATGGAATGCTATCCTACGTCGAACTCCATCCCTTGAAGACTCTGACTATTCTTCCTCCGTGGCAACTGTGAATGCCAAAGTGATCGATGATGAAGACGATGCTACTTCACCGCCCCCTACTTCTGCACGCATCGACACTGCACCAAGTTCGTCTGCACCGCCAAACAACAACGACAACCCTGCTGCTTCACCTACTCCTCATGAGGACGAGTAGATGCTCTATGTCTTCAAACCTTTTTGGTCCTTACTGACAAAAGGGGGATAAGCATATGAGTTTGATAGTCTTCAAGCGGGTTCATATGGGCGGTTGCTTTATATTTTGCCTAGTGTTTACAACTCTCGCTTTTGATACATTTAGTTCTTTGAGTTGTAACACTTAAACTCGATGGTCGTCTGCTACTTATTTGCTTTTATGTGATACGATGATAAATTCCACATGTGCGATGATAACTTCCGCACTTAGATCATTCTGCAGACGTCCATTTTTCATTATGCATGTCATTCTCTTAGTTATATCATTTCATGCATGATGAATTATCTTCATAAGTTGAAGAGGATCTCCACAAGTACAACCTGCCATGTGCATTTGCATTCCAAAAGCAAATTACTTATATGCACATCTTCAGGGGGAGCCTTTGCCACTTATGAAGACAATACCCTATCCTTTACAATTTCACATACTTTATCCCCGTTGAAAACTTCAACCAGTTTGTCATCAATCACCAAAAAGGGGGAGATTGTAAGTGCATCTAGTACCACCCCTAGTTGGTTTTGGAGTATTGACGACAAATTTGGTTGATGGACTAATGCGTTTGTGAGAATTGCAGGATAACGCAGGTAGTGTCCCTCATTGATTCGGTTTACCTACCGGAGATGACCCCTAAAATGTATGAAGACATTGATGACAATGGTGGTATGTGAAGATATTCACATTGAAGACTATGACATGAGAAGACATTGAGTGAAGACTATGGAGCGCGAAGACTGTGTCGTTTCGTTGTTTCCTTTTTCTTCTTTGTCGAGTCATAGGAACCACCGTACTGTTAAGTGGGGTCCAAGTGAACAAAGTCAGAATGACTGAAGTGATGCTCAACCCAAATCCTATGTCTTCAAGCGAAGACAATGAGAGCAAATCTTATCCAGTGCTGGATGAGTCAGCTTTGCTTGTAGCCCAAGTAAAGTTGCCGTGTGTGTTTGAAATCTGACCGTTGAAACACGTGTCAGTTCCTTAGTGACCCAGGGTCATTTCGGACATATCAGGTCGGGTTGCCTAGTGGCTATAAATAGCCCACCCCCTACACCATAAATAGGTGGCTGCTCAGAGTTAGTGCACGGCTTTTGTCGTTTGAGAGCAACCCACTATGAAGCCTTTGAGAGAGAGAAATCCTTGCGAGGACAAAGCCCAAACATCCAGAGCCAAAGAGTGTTAGGCATCACTGAAGTCTTTCTGTCTGTGTGACCTGAAGACTTATTACACTTGAGGACCGTGAATCCTCCAGCCGGTTAGGCGTCGCATTCTGAGCATCCAAGAGTCATTGTGGATCGCCGGTGGACGAAGTCTGTGAAGGTTCGGAAGTCTACCTTGAAGACTTACCAGAGTGATTGGGCGAGGACTGTGTGTCCTTAGCTCAAGGGGAATAAGGTGAAGACGCGGTCTTCTGAGTTGAATCTCAGCCTCCCTAACCAGACGTACAGTTGTCACAACAACTGGAACTGGTCCAACAAATCCTGTGTCTTCAACAAGTGACTGGTTCTATCCTCTCCCTCCCTTTACTTAGTGTTTGTCTTTGTGAAGTCATTGCCTATTTGTCGTACCTGTTTGACTTCATTGCTTGACTAGTATCGTTGGTTGGCTTCATACTATCTTCCATCCTAATCCTTACTACTTAGCTGCTATTAGTCTTTGTACTTTCACATTATTGCATACTTGACTATGGTTTGCTTGTTGTAGTTTATCTTCCGCTGCATATCAATTAGGTCATTTCTATTGTTTGTCTTCGAAACTTTCACGTTTTGAAGACTTTCATAAAAATCGCCTATTCACCCCCCCTCTAGTCGATAACTAGCACTTTCAATCACAAATTATTCTCAGGAGCTAGTTAAGTTACCAACAATCATTTATTATTAACCTCAAGCACTACTTTAATTCAAAGAATGTAAGAATGAGGAAAATATGAACAAACATAACCATTTGGATTTTGGACACTTCTGAGATCAATATTCAGATAGCTTGATGTTTAAAAAAGCCTATCAATGCTTTTGGAATAGTTATGGTCAGAATGGGCCATTTGTTTTGAGATTTGACAAAATACGCAGTATATTCTCATATGGCAACCTGTACATGAACACCAACCTGCTGAGATCAATTTTTTTGCGAACGTACTTGCTGAATAATATATAGTCTGCAATTGAAATATTGTATCTCGGTCTTTTGTCAGCAACATCTAAGATTTTGTAAGCTCTGATAGTAAAAGACCAACATGTACAAGAATTGGAACTTGGAAGAAGCTTACGTGGGCATGATGCCATCGGGTTGTATGCCAAGATCATGGTTGTAGAGCTCCCTCTATCTCCCTTGCCAAGATCTCCCTCCGACCAGTAGTAGAACAACTGCTCCTGCTGCTTTTGAACACTCCTTCCACGTTGCCGCATATCAGTTGGCGGCGTAGGCCAACTCTCGCTTGTATCATCATGTTGAACACAATATGCGTCTATGTTTACTTTCCTTGTGGGTGCTAATATAGAGGCGCTAGGATATCCATCCTGCTCGATTGCCGGTTGAGCCATCGATTCCCGGCATAGGGGGTGCATTGACGCGAGAAATATCATCGAGTGCCTAGGTATCTCTAGGCGTGTTGGATGGATCGCTGCTACGCCGACCAATTATATTAGCATCAGCTACCGTTTGCGTTGAAACAGATCTGCGCTTGGGTGTTTCTTTTTACTGTATTTTACAAAAAAATAGCTCTCTTAATCGCGTGTATAAGAGTCTTGCATTGAAGATGTCCTAAAAAGCGCATGTCTTCCAGTTTGGTGATTGCAGAGAGTATAAGACATTCAAAAGGAGTCGAAGGAGCATAAATAAATAATGTAGGTGCTAGAACAGAAATAGGTATACATTTTTTTTCATATGCATTATAAACTCAATAGAGGAAGAGAAGTGTAGAAACATCCTCGTATGCTTTTGCCAGTTGGACCTTTCTTGCCTATCGAGAAAACAAGATAACACTTGGTTCAAAAATCAAGAGAAATGACCGTCTAGAGTTACTTGACACTGTAATGGATGTATCTAGACATGCATTTCAGCGTCAAGTAATTCTGGACAGAGGGAGTATATGATTATTTTAGTTCTCAAGAAATAATTGGACTAAAAGGAGAAAACAGAGGAATATGAAAGGTATGAGACTTGGAAAGGATGTCTGGAAACTAATTGGAGGCACACTGTTATCAACACATATGAAAGAACACTCTTCAAGTTACAAAAGGAACTTCCTTTGATGTCCTAAGCTAATTCAGTCTCCACTGTATGCATTGTTATTATCTTATAGTACAAAATAAAATGAAAAATAATTATACCTCCAGATGTTTATACCACATGGAAGATAATTATTGGAGAAAAATGACCAATAAAGCATGACTGAAGTTTAAAATTTGCATCCCTAAAAAGTAATCATTGTACCAAATGATTTGATCTAGTCCTTTGCTATCTCCTACAAATTCTTTAAAGAGTACACCTACACCGCGGCAAATAATGCAATGCCTAGAGGTAAATCTATCAATTTTGGCACATACGTACTTGCATGGTGTTCTCCTCCTCTATCAGCATTTGTCAGTCCAATTTGTGCCTGCATGAACAATCCACTTCAGTTAAGAACATTGTACAAAAGTAGGCACATTAGTTTATTGGATGGAAGTGGTAAGGAATAAACACTAAAACATAGTTCCTGATATTAGCTATTAAAGCAGGAGCATAATTTTCACACCAAGTAAGTCCCTACATAAAACACACATCAAAAGATGAGAGAACTTTCATGGACATGAAACAAAATAAATCTGAATGAATCCATTTATATGATTTATGTGTAAGAACAATGTGTGGCTGCTGTATTAGAAGATGTCCTTTGAAAGATCTATTCATCGGAAGGCAGCAGGATTTGTATCGATCCTTTTATATTGTCCAAATTTCTATATTGGAACCCAACAGAAATTGCACACATTTAGCTTATAGTGCAAATCTATAGAAATTAACTGCGAGCGACATTCTCTAATAATTAATCGTACATTCTGATTTCCAACTAACCCATGATCACAAAAGCAGAAGCAAACAACTCATTTCCTTCACAATAGCAAGCCAATTTGATCACAGAAAGCAATCATTAACTGACTTATCCATGTGTGTGTATATATTAAAGTTTACAACACAATATCTATTCAGCAGCAGAACCTTGATTTTATTTTCATGTATGTGCAAAGTTGAACCGCTAGTGGCCTCACCTCTGAGCCCATGCCCCACCTTTGAAAGCCTGTGATCAAACGAGAGATGGAAGTAAGCACAATATCCTGCAATCAAATGAGAGAGGGATTGACAAAGGGGAATTGAAAGTGAACAAAAAGAAAAGCAAATTCTTGAAGTGAACACTTTCCTAGAACTGAGAAAGGAGAGCCATAGTATTATGGTAGCATCATCAGAACATCAATTAGTTGTGGCCCTTCCTGCATTCCATGTCAAATATGCACGTGTCAGTAGATTAAATAAGTACAACTTACCTACAAAGACTCGATGGTGAAAGTCGAAAATACTCTATGCACTCACAGATAATTCTTCTACTGTTCACTTGGACATAATCAAATTATTATTCAGAATATTACATATCAGAATAATATGTGCCAATGTTGCAATAGACTCGCACTAAGATGTGAGATGGTGACATCTGATCAATTTGCCTCCTTCCAAATAGAAGTTCAAGAAAATTAAACTAATGTACCAAGTGAACATGAAAGACACAAGTATACAAAAATCAAATTGTTTTTTCACCATATATTATTGGAAAAAATATTGAACATCCATGCCTTGATGGCTCCCCTATAGTTTGGTGCATAAATCAGAGGTACAAAGAGATACTAAACATTACATAACAAGATTTTTGATTTCTTTAAAAAATCATGCATAAATAAACCGTGACCATGTCTCAGAAAAATAGTACAAGAACATTAAACCTTGACAGAAGGAGATGGAACACTAAAAAGTGAATGAGCTACCAGAGGCTGAAGGACATTGGTCAGGAGTTAGGACACAGCGAGGCGCAGCAGTGATCACTCGACCTTGGGTACTACAGGGACTTCAGGCCTGAAGGACATTGGTCATAAGTCAAGACCATCGGCATGAATCTCATCGGTGTGCAGGGAAGCATTTAGAGATGAATGTCGTTCGTGCCGCCGCCTTGTGGATTGCTACAGTTGGAGGAGGGGGGCTCACCACCGTCTCCTCCTGGCCGTTGTGCCGCCATTGTCACCTTATGATCGGACACAGTGGATCGAGTTACATCTAGAAGAAACAAAATGAATGTCATAATTAGTAAAGAATTTTCAGCGACAAAAGGATAAACAAGAATTGGAATGTTAAAACAAAACCTGCACCTACACAAGTACTGTATATTTTATATTCGCACAAGTGCAGATCATGTCCCACTCTTCACTTTATTTACAAAAAAGTTCAGAATAGCAATCTTGGTGAGCCCTGTAAGGAAGCATCCCGTGATCTCGGTCGGGTTCCATCCGCGTGGCGTGCTGCTGATTCTGCCATGAGTGGGTGCTGAGAGGAAGGATCCTGAACCTCCATTATCAATAGCCCGGAGCTGCATTGGCCTTCGAATTAGATCGTGGTAGCCTGGTAGGGGTCAAGAAGTTAGGGGTCGAGGAATTTGGAGGAGGTGAGGGAGTAGGGTGGTGATCACGAGAACTCACCCATATCTTGGGAGATGGCAGACCAGGTGGCATCGTGTTGGTGCTTCGGGGGCTGCCTCTTAGCTCCGACAATTGCCATATGAAAAATAAGCTTAGTAGTGTTTTATGATCATGAAATGAAAAGGCATTCTTCATTCTTTGTTTAGTCTTCGCCCTCCTCCTCAGACATCCTCCTATTTTATCTCGTCCCCTTCATTGTTGTGTGCCATCATGAGCCTCCTACAGAAAAGAGATATGTAGAGCGAGAAATCTATGTTAACACAATCACACAAATTATATTCTTCTGTCCCTGCCATTTTCTTTAGTGTTCAATGACAACAAAATGGAGAGGAAACCTCTGAACTAATGATCTATAGTGTTCAATGGCAACAAAAATGACACCGTCATGTTCAAGAAAATCCATCCACGTCAATCCTGAAAATCGTCGTTCCTTCAATTGGGGCCAAGAATGTGATCCTCGGCTTGCCTCCCTATCGTCAGAGGAAACAAAAATCAACCTTATTCTATATCCAGTCATGGTATAGAAAGGCACCGCCGCTGCTCCATGACTCAAAAAATAACATTAGGTGCAAAGCATTACAGTTTAAATAGGATGCATGATGTGATCCATTAAGCACCAAAGCAAATAGTTCAAGATCATTTACATTCATTATTTGACGTCAAGTAGAACGTCATTTGTCACTACAAAAAAAAGACACATCCATGACATTTTGGGCCAAATGATTTTTTTTTCTGTCATGCTTATGACACTTCTATGACGATAATTGTGACAAAACCCGGTATCATCATAGATGTGGTGGGATCCTACTTCTATGGCAAAAAATCATGACAGAAAATGGGCTTTTCGTCCTGGGCGGGCCAGAGACGCAGCTGCATGACATTCTTTGGGCCGTCCATGACGGAAAAAACCGTGGTAGAAGCGAGGGCGAGGAAAATTTTGGCGAGTTCCCGGTTACAGTGGGTGGTCAGGGGCCGAGCGATGCGCATTTCTCTTGTACACGTACGCGCGTGTGTGCGAGGCATTGGCTCTAACTGAACCCGAGCGAGGCATTGGGCTCTAACTGAACCCGAGCGATTGCACTGCAGGCTACGTGTTACTGAACCCGAGCGATCGAGCGATTCCTTCGACTGCTGCTACCTGAAGTCGATCGATGCTGCCTCTGGATGAACAGTGAGCGTTGCAGGGGGGTTTGGATGAATAGTGAGCATTGCGGGGGGTTTGGATGAATAGTGAGTGGTGGGGTGGATGAACAGGACCCCGTGGCATTGCCTCTGGATGAACAGGACCCCGATCGATCGAGCTGGTTGGGGCTGGATGAACAGAAACCCATGGAGGGCTGGATGAACAGGACGACCCCGTGGAGGGCTGGATGAACAGTATATGGTGGAGGGGTGGATGAACAGTAGCCCGTGGAGGGGTGGTCGAACAAGAGCCCGTGGAGAGGGGTGGTTGAACAGTAGCCGGTGGAGTAGCGCGCGGTGGAGGCTGGATGAACAGGAGCCCGTGGATGAACAGTCGCAGGTGGAGGCTGGAGGAGGTCAACGGTGGATGAACAGTAGCCCATGGAGGCTGGAGGAGGTCGACGATGGAGATGAACAGTGTCCCATGGAGTCCCGTTTTGCGGTACGCCACACCCCTCCCAATGAACAAGAGCCCCGTTTCGACCGTAGCGCTCCAAAACAAGTCCGTTTCGTCCGTTTTGTGGTACACAAGACCCCTCCCGATGAACAGGACCCCCATTTCGACCATAGGAGGTCCGTTTCCTCCGTTTCGCGGTATGCCAGACCCCTCCCGATGAACAGGATCCCGTTTCGAACGTGGC